CACCCCCCCCGGGCCCGCCGCGCCCCGCTCCCGCCCGCGGGGCCCGGCCGGGGGTTTCACCCGCTGTTTGGTTCCTCCCCGCTGTCCCCAGGAGAGACGTGGACGACTTCTTGGCGGGCGGCGAGGCCGGGGCGAGCAGGCGGAGCGCAATGTCCGTCTTCAGGACTGCCCGGAAGCTGCTCTTCGTGTTCACCCTTCACCAGGACAAAGAGGTGAGGCGGCCGCTCGGCCCCGGCCACGTCCCTGCCGCCCCTGGCCACGGCGCCGTCCTCGCGGAGCAAGGAGCATCGGGTCTCGCGGGGCACGGCCGAGGAATCCTGCCTTCCACGTCTGGAGGTTTCTTCTGGGGTCGGCCGTGGGGGGCGGTTCGACGACGGACACTCTTTTGGGTCCAGCTGATCACTTTTATCAGACCCTGTCGGAGGTGGGTTGATGTCAACCCGCCGCCAAGTGGGTCTGGTAAAAGAGACTCTCTTAGCTGATGTTATCCTCTTTGTAAAACGAGGACTGGGGACGTACGCGCCTCCCAGGGGAATGGCGAATCGTTAGGGAAAAAACCCCTCTGGATATAAAAGTCCCGGAGCGATCTGATCGACTCTCGTTGCTGGCTCCTGGTTCCTTTTTCCCCGCGCTCTCTCTGCTCTTTGCTGTTTAAGCGCACGGCGCTCGAGACGGGTTACGTGTGTATCCTGAGCGTGCACTCAGCGTAAACAGTGCCCGTGTTAACTACCTGAACAGGCGGTGCGAGGGTCTTCACGTCTCGTTACAGCTCCTAACCCGGTGTCTCCGTACACGAACGGGCACGGCCTCGGCCCTTCAGGCAGGGCTGCTTTAGAAGCTTTGAATGTGAAGGCTTCTGCTCGCTTCCATCCAATTGCGTAATTATTATGCAATTAACCAGGCTACAGTTAAGTTGCAGAGTAAACTGCGGTGTCCGGAGTTTATATGGATTTAAAGGGTTTGTGCACTTCGTTATCTACACGGCGGTTATCGGGAAGGTGCTGTGTCACGCAGTAAAGCGAGTTCTGTCCTTATCCGCTATGTGTGCAAGCGAAATATGCTGCTTCAAATGCCGTTGTTGACCTGCGTGACTGCAAGCCTCGTCGTGCAGTTTGCGTGTGTGAGGTACATGTTATAATCCAAACCTGTGATCTAAGAGGGAGCAGTTATCCCATGTATCCAGTGAAGATTTTTCTTAGCACCGTGTTGCTGGCTAGGGGAAAGATTCACCCTCTCCTGTCTCCCGGCAGACCTATGGCTTGCTGCAGATGCTTTTGTCAGTGTAGCTTGCCTTAGGTGGGGGAGGCCTAGCCATGTGGGAGAAAACTCCTGTCAACACACACTACACCTCCACCGAGGTGTCTGCCAATACAGCTAAACTGGCACACCTAGAGTGGCAGAGGCTCTGGCACACCTACAGTGGTACAAGCAAGTCCTGAAGAAATCAGCAATGAACATTGCCAGAAACTGGCTGCTGCACTCGCGGGGGGTGGCTGTTTTTCCCCAGATAACTCTCAAGTGTCATTGTGGGAATTAGCTCTTATTTCTCTCTCTCTTTCTCTCTTTACAGAGGATTGAAAAGTTGTGCCGCTGTATCCTTAATAGCATGGATGTTGAGAATGAACCCAAGGTCAGCAGGTTGAATTGGGTAGGGTGGGGTTTTGAGTGAATTTTTTTTTTCTTAAAGATGATTGCTATTTAAAAAATAAGAGGGTGGGAAATATCGGGGTTAAACATTTCATCGTTTAACACCATGCTGACTGACACTTGGACAAAGCTAGCAAGATGGACCCACGAGGGTGAGAGAGGAATTTGTGCCCATGGAACATCTTATAAGGCACAGATTGGGTTAAAGAGAAGGGAGTAACTCTGGTCCAGTGCTGGGAGCAGTGTGGACGGTGGAAGTGGTTTTAATGTGCAGTTTCCTGGTTTTATTTTGGTTAAACAATGACACGGAAGAATTTGCCACCCATAACTAATCCTGCCTTCCATGCCTGTAGGTGTGGTATGTGTCCCTAGCACTTTCTAAGGATCTTACGCTCTTGTGGATCAAACAGATCAAAGACATTCTGTGGTTTTGCTGCGAGTTTCTCAAGCAGTTGAAGGTAAGATCTTTCCTTCCTTTCAGCTATAGGTGCCTAGTGGTGCTGTGGCTTGGTGTTGGAGATTTGTCTCTTACTGCTGGGATTTTTATTGTTCCAGCCGGACATCTTACAAGACTCCAAATTGGTCAATTTGCACCTCACAATGCTGGTCACCTTCACAGACACCTCCACATGGAAAATACTTAGGGGAAAAGGTTTGTATGGCTGTTTTCAATACCCTGTACTCAAACCATGCTGCTTTCTCTTTGTTTTAAAGTCTCCCAGTTTGTTTGACTGTAGAAAGAAAGATTTTTTTTCATTTTGTTCCCTGCAGAGTCCATTATCTGTTGTGTGCTCATGCTACCTGAAAACACACAATAAAAATCCATGCTGTGGATCAGAGATTTCCCCTCAGACCTAATAGTGCAGTCAGTGGTTACATCTGTCTTATAATTGCTCCGCTGTGCGGATCAAAAACTTCTTCGATGTAAAGCTGTGTTGACTTTGACCGCTCTGGAATTCTGTTGAAAGTACTTGCTGCATACTACACCTGCAAAGGTTATCTGCAAATCAGTCTTTGAGAGGCTGACGTAAAGCTATTGAAAAATCTAAGCACGCTGTTAGGGGTCCATTTTGCCATCTAAAACATTCTAAGAAGCTGTTAACACTGGCATGCTGTACAGCATTGCAATGAGTTGAGGAATGACGAGATCAATGAGGACTTGTTCTAATTCACAACGTGCAGGTACATGAACAGTTCAGCTGTAACATTAATTACAAAGAATATTGCTTTGTCTTCACAGGAGAAACCCTGCGCCCTGCCATGAACCACATCTGTGCGAATATCATGGGACACCTCAATCAAAAGGGATTCTACTCTGTGCTGCAGGTTTGTCTGAGATTTACCTGCTTTGCCTTTTCCTGTGCTACTTTCTGCCTTTAAGTTGTCTGATTCTCCAGGTGTATCGTCCTGT